TCACCATCATATGTATATATGCTGTTTTAACACACACACACACACACACACATATATATATATAACATATACATCTTAAATCAGCAATATATGACAACATGCCACGCACCGTGCTAAAAATCAATGTGGTCATTTTTGTGTCCTATTCATTTTAGCCTTATATCAACCTTATAGATATAAAATTAGTTTGTAATACAGGTTTTTTACTAAAAAGTCACTGAAAATCAAAGGTGTATTTTAAAATCAAAACTGACGAGAAACGTCTCTGTAAAAAATGAAAAACACTTACAGGCACCAGGAACTTTTTAATCTCTTCCAACGCGTGACTCATACGTGAGTAAGCTTCCCCAGGTGGAGCAAACACTTCAATTAGAACATGCAGTTCATCACTCAAGTGGGCATATTTGGCTTCCCCACTCTTCCTTAGCTCTTCTTCCTGCGAAAGAGGTTATTTTTAGTCATACATATCCATCCATCTTGCATTGATTTAACATTTACTGAGAACATGATGAAAGAACATAATCTAAGCAAATTTTCCATAAGTAGAAAGAAACCCTTTGAGAAATAAAGAACTGCTATAAGCCATTTAAAGATTTAAACATCATTTTTGAGTGTCTGAATGACTTTAAAACCTTGGCATAATTATTATCTATAGCAGATTTTAATCAACTGAATGAAAATGCTAAGTTTCTCAAAATAAGTCACAGAAAGAGGATTAACCCTTCAGTGTACACTTACATTCTGGAACGAAAGGATTATTTTGTCTCTGATGTATAATAGCTTACAGATTATAAGCAAAAGATCACCACTGTGTTTTTTAAAAGAACCACGACTTCCTAGCTACTTTTTGAGAAGTTGTAGGTTACTTGCTCATCATAAAAAGCTACCTTAGCTAAATGGTTAGAGTGCTAAACCAAGTGCTACTCGCAGCCCAAATTTCCCCTGCAAGATAATCACTGAGATTCACACCCATATCTTTTCTATGACTTGCTGCCTCATTCTGGCCAATACGGTTACGTCAGTAGGACAGTGGTCAAATACTATGTTGATATTGACTCTACATGAACTGCACAGGCTTCTGCTTAAGTAATACTACATTTCCAGTGGGTAAGACTTTTTATGATCTTGTGATCATGCTCTGTCAAAGCCTAGTTAATTCAGTACAAGTGCACACAGCACATCAGCATATTGGGTCATGCATTTTGTTAATGTGTGCTAATAATTTCACATATACCATCTTTATTCACTGTAACTTTGTATATATGCACACATTATAGATTTTAAAAATGAGCATAAAAGCTTTAAATACCTTCAGCAAAGCTCGGATACAAAACAGCTCATTTTACAGCTACATTTATATTAACAATTTTTTTATTTTAAGAGAAAAAATAACAAAATAACAACAGTGAAGACAAAAGGAGCAAAAACTAGTTAAAATGTTAGACAAACGTGTGGAGATCCCTCAAAAAGCTGAAAGTAGGAATTCCATTTGATCTAAATTCCATTTGACAAAAATCTTCTAGGTATCTCCTCAAAAGAGTTAAAATTATTTTACAGGGCTAAATCCTTGTTTATAATAGCTGAATCTTGGAAACAACATACATATCTATCAACAGATGAATGGATAAGGAAAATGGGGCATGTACACACAATGGAGTACTACTATACCACAAAGGAAGATTAATTTGAGGCATTTGTAAGTAAGTGGATACAATTTGAGAACATGGTAAGTGGCACAAGCCAGACACAGGGGCTTAGATTTCACAGAATTTCTCTTATATGAGAAACTCAAAATTTATGTGTATGCAAATGATGAGCCAAATGGAAGCTAGAAAAGCAGGAAATGGGGAGAGGTTCAGAAGCTCCCCAAATTACCTTTTCAGTAGTTTCAAATATTTCAATATATATCCTATTTTGTTTCACTTCTACTACTAGTTTCTCTTACCTCATTGAAAGGCAAGTTTTGTTCTGATATCTGTTTGTTTCTTCTTAGTAAGACTGTAACTTTTGTCCATGTCTTGTATTATGAGTGGCTACTTTGAAGATAAGGATATATAGTGCATTAACTATTTTTATTCTTCTTTTGCTATGAAGTTTTTTATTTTCATAAAATGAAAGATAATTTCAAAAATTAACATAATTGATATTTTACCCCAATAATTGTTAATGAAACAACCAGCAGCTGTAAACTTAATTTCAAAGAATAAAAATAAACAAGTAATTCTTAGTTTTATGTGCAAGTTAAACAGAAAAGTGACACAAATAGACTCAAACTGGATAAATCAAAACAAATTTGCTATTTATTTCATGTAACCATGCAAATATGTTTATCTGAGTAGCAATGTGCAGTGTTTTAAAATATGAAGGGCTCACGAAAGAGAAGGGAAAGTTCCTGGATATCTGTCTGTCTTTCCACATCCATCAGTGTACCTATATGTGTATCTGCATCTGTATCTGTTTCCTTGTCTGTATCTGGGATATATACCCTTCACCTTCTCAAATCTAGTAATGGTAATATTCACTCATTCTCTTCCCTAAAAACACTTTCAATATCAGCGACGAATTTTTACTTAAGGGTTTTTGTAGGCCAGTTCTCAAGTTTGGGGAAGAGATGCAGCACTTGTTAGAATCGACACACCCATGAATTGCAGTGAAAACTTCTTCCTCTTTAGGTCCTGCTGAGACGTAAGCTGCTTGTTAATTTTGAGGCCTGCTTGGCTTGGACATAAATGCTGGAACAGCTAGTTCAGAGACAGACATGTACCTACTGCCCAGAGCAATGCCATCATGATGTCCTGCAGACATGCACTAATGAAAAACTAAGTGTGTGCTTGCAGGTGGCCCTGGATGGGATGGAGGTTATGAATTGGTCGATGATTGAGTGGCCATGAATCTGACTGAACCCTGGGGGCTTCATTTGGACAAAAAAAGGAGAGGGTAGACACTGGGCCACACTGAGCTTCGACTCACGCAGGGCTAACGTGATGCTTATTGCTGAATATGAGCGTGGGGAAGGCAGCCCGTGCCTGCTAGTGTGCCCACAGAGTGTTTTCAAAAACAGTTCTGTATTCCCTAGGTAAATAAACCTCCAAGTTTCTTTTGAATATGTCAGACATCATGGCCATCCTGAATAGCAGAGGTCTCCAGCACTAGTAAATGCATAGACAGTAATTCATCATCATCTCTTGAGGTGTTTCTTCTATGAGAATCTCTAACATATTTTGGTAAAAACATTCATCTCTACATTAAATGCCTTAACTAAGAAGGTAATTAGAATGTGAAAGTAGTTTTTTAATAATTACACTTGGGGTTAAAAATCTGTCCTTGTGTCTTCTGCCAATCTTATAACAAAGGTCATAGGGTCTTGAAAGTTTACACTGGCTCCAACAGGGGACATAAGCACAAAGGAGTAAAGAAAAAGATAAAAAATAAAAAATATTACAAAAATCTTTAGGGTAGATCGAAATGAAAAAATAAAAAAATATTACAAAAATCTTTAGGGTAGATCGAAATGAACAGTTCCCAAGATGGAGACTGAATCTCTATCTAACAAAAAAAATGGAAAAAACAGATGGAGGAGGTGAAAAGAACAGCAGATGCACATACAAGACACAAAATCTACTTGACAAGATCATTTAAAGCACTGCACAGTTGGTCTTACTCAGTCTTATGAAAAGAATATTCTCATTCCATTAAGGCTGTTTACATTTGCTACTGACCTTCAGACAGTTTGTGATGTTCATGTACTACAATGTAAAAGAAATTATGGGCTAACTACTTTCCCTTAAGTAAGAATATTAATTGCTGAACATTAAAGATTTTAAACAGTCAGTACAGAACATCAAATCTAGTTTTGTATATCCCCAAACAATTTACCCCATGTTATAACTTAAGGTAAAATATAAATGAAATGGTTCAGTTTTTGTAAGATTATTTTTTAATAGAAAAAACTATGGCACAAAATACTCTTACTTGAAGTGTATTAGTGCATTTAATTGTTAAAGGGATATTTAAGGACATTTTTCTTAGGAATTACAATTGTATTTTATCTTCTACAAAGTAATTTTTCTGATTTGAAAATAATTAATTAATTAATTAAGAATTGTGTCTCTCAATTCACAATAGCTTGCCCCCTAAAGAAAACTTGAAAACAATACCCCATAGTATGAGTATTTTTAAACATTCTTAATTGCACGTTCAAAGAAAACCACTGAAAACATTTCAGTGTATTTGCTTCAAGTCCTTTCAGTGAAAAAGAAGATGATGATAGAACCTAAGAACACTTGTGGAATTGCTGCTTCAATAAGTATGGAAAGTGCAAAGTGCTTCTCAGGATTATCTAGTTTTATATTTCACAACTACATTTTCTGCTGGGTATTATTCCCAAAACTTTACAAAAGGGGAAACTGGCAGAGAAGCTTACATAGAATTACAGTGAATATAACTATATATGGAATTAGATTAATCCCATATAATCTCATCCTAAAAACCCAGCCCTTACTCACTATAGGGATGTTACTAGTATAGATAATTAAGCCAAGCATAAGAAAACTTTGTATACATCCAGACTTCTCCAAGATATTTCTGGCTTCTGAAAGATCTTTGCTAATAGTTTTCCCATAATTTCCTGGTATAGAGCTTTACAGAATGCTACCAGCTCTGGAGCATCCTACAGCAGGCCATGCATTTTACTCGCTAAACATGTCTGGCATGAAGTTCTTTTCTTTCCCTGCAAATGTCCTGATTCTTTAGGACAACAATCAGTGCTGGTGAAACTACCATTTTCAAGGTTCTGACCACATACTTGTATCACTTTTCTAAAAACGTTAGTGAACTCACATATTCAGTTCCAAGCAGAACATTCCTCCAAAATGTTTAAGGTTGAGCTCAGAATCGTTTGCACCATGTCTCTCAGATGATTACACTGTATTCCTGGAACAAATGTGGTTCTTTCTAGCTGTTCTCTACATCATGCAGCTTGTCCACTAGCTACTTTATGATACTGCCTGTCCCACACTATCTGTTGTAGTAGTCAAGCTGGCTTATAATTGAGCATTCCGTGTCAGTTCTGATGTCAGACAAACGTCCCCAAATGTGATACAGGATCATATGCCCGTTTGTGCTTTGGCTCTTGAATCAAGCCATTTGATGCCTGGATTTTTCAGGTGCCAACTTAAAAATAAAAATGAGAACCTCTTAAAATATTACAAAATACACACTCATGTCAAATAATTTATGAAGGTCATAGACTTATTTATAGTCACAGAGGGGCACAGAGTGGGGAGGTCACGCTGACAACCCCATTACAAATGACTTCTAAAAATCCTGTTCTCTTTACCAAATCCCTTGCTTGCTTCTTTACCATGTTTCAACTTTTTTTTGTTGTTTATTTTTTTCCAGTACCGGGAATTGGACTCACGACCTTGCGCTTGCCAG